AGCCTACTAATACAAATGCAATTGAAAATCAACTCACGGACAACTTACTAGCATGAACGTTATTTGATTTTATAATTTAAACCAAAACTAATTCCAATATTTCTACAATATTGATTGCTTTTATTATTTCTAAACAGAAAATACATACTACATACACGTTAAGTTATTAACCAACGGCTATTAACACGCATCGTTTTATTATTATCATTGTAATCCCATTTTTTATAGCTCAAATAATCTTCACACAAATTTTCATTTCAAGCGTGTTAAGCATGAAGGCACATATTTTAAAATTATTACATGTATTTCTCGACCAGATGCTGCCGCCTTCTTTTTGATTTATCTTTCAGCTTATCATTACCCGGGGGATTCTTACTAGTCTTGGTAACCTTCAGCGCACGACAATCCCATTCAATTCGGTATCGAACCAACATCACGTTGATTCTGGTGGGAGAGTAGTGTAGTGGCATTGGACAATAGCCACACAATCCACAAAGCTGTGAACACGAGACTACTCAGAAAATAGATATTCAATATTTAACGCGGAGAAAGGCGCGAACAAGGAATTGAATGAGTTGGAGTTAATCGAATGGTATGGCTTGGCCATGCAGGCGTGGTCTCTGCTGAATGTTACCGTATATCTTCTATTCATATTAAATACGTTGTTCTTTCTCTAGCCCAACCTTGTTCTACATCATGTATTCGTAATTAATACGATACAGTGAGTTGGTGTAGTCGATGGTGTGACTTCCACGTAAGATCTTATAGATTAGGCAGTTATGTCATGACAAATCTACAAATTTAGGATTAGGTCTATTATTAGAGAAGTACTAATATCATCGTAGACCACAATTCTACAACTTTCCATACTGGTTATGATACAAGTACCAGTCGGGGTTATCAGTCTCTCGTGGTCTAGAGACAGATCGCTTACGTGAAGTGCTTCTTCGAGGATGTGTGACCGTTTACGATCGTTACGAAACTTAAGATAACGTGTAAGTGTATGACACAACTCTGTAACGTCATTCTGGGTCGTTTGAGGCTTTTCTTTGACTGAAAAACCTCGGTATTAGAAGATTTCGTGATTTCTAAAATGTGGTCGGCAGATGCAGCCAGCTCGTTCATGACGTTGTTGTGAAACGAGAGCAGCACAGCTTGCACCTGTTGAAGAAGTTTGGATACGAAAATTTGTTTGAGCAGGCCATCATCGAAAGTTCTTTGGTTGATAACCTCTCTCATTCGTTGCAACATGTCCGTCGCAGAACCGTGTTGCAGGTCGATGTTACTGAGGAGTTGGTCTAAACTTTGTCTATCGGTTAGGCTGTAGTGGCATTGAACCATAACCACACAATCCTCAAAGGTGAATATGAGATTACTCCGAAAATAGATATTCAATATTTAACGCGGAGAAATACCTAACGATGGAGAAGGCGCGAACAAGGATTTGAATGAATTATAGTTGATCATATGGCATGGCTCGGCCATGCGGGCATGGTCCTTGCGGAATGTTAACTTATATCTTTTATTCGTATTGAATATATTGTTCTGTCTGTAGTCTAACCCTGTTCTAAAAGGTTTCCTCGTTTAAGAATAGAACGTCTCAGCTTCTCGTAAGGTTCAGAAACATCACTAGTAAACATACTAGGTTTTACGTATCTGCTGAATTCGCGCAGTAGTGCCTTGACTACTGCGAGGAATTGTGCACGTGTCGACCACGCCGTGTTCAGAGAAGTCGGACTCTGCCACAAGTATTCGGAGTTTGAAAACGCTTTAATCAGTAACACCTTCTAATAGGAATCGTACCCAACAAGTGAAATCAAAAGACAGAAAGGAGGAGGTATGATTGCAGGGGTTGTTGAGGACGCTGTTCCCACTCGTGATTTGGTGCGGATGCATGACCGAGCGCCTTCAGCTAGGTGAGTCCATTAAAACTAGTGTGGTCAGCATCCAATGTTGAAAACTTACAGAGCTATTTACTTTGAGGATTTATTTACCACTACAGGGTAATCCATGCTATGCACCCCTCTCAACAACTCTCAAGCTTCGGCCATACGCATCCCGAAATATTAAAGGCGTTCATTCCCGAAATCTGTAATGACTGGGTTTGAAATATTTAGATCATAAGGCTGGTACGAACAAAAGTGTTTGTCAATTCCTGAATTTTCGTGACACTAATTAAAAATAACGCGTCTTGTTATGGACACTTTACTAACCATATCTCTTATAAACCCACAAAAATGGCATATATACACAGAAATCATGTCTTCATTGCAAAGCTGAAAAAAAGAAAACCATTCAATTAACACATTATGGAACTTGATTTCGAGGGTTTTACGTTAGTAAGGGCGGACAGAATACAAAAGCGTAAAGGAGGGGGAGTAGCTCTATTCATTAGGAATTCTATCCCATTGGCCATTATCAACAGTGTACACCATGAGAGTGGGACGTGTGAATTAGTTAGTCTCCGCTTGAAATGCAAGGGACAAGAGCTGCTGATTGATTTGGTCTATCGCAGTCCGAACTGTGAGGTAAATGAAGTCCTGCTGAGCAGTCTCAATACTTGGTCACAAAGTGGTCGATGTCTAATCGTAGGGGACTTTAATGCACCTATGGTAGACTGGAGAAATCTGCGAACTTTGAGCAGGAAATAGTTGATGCGGCTATCACATGTGCCCTAGTGCAACATGTGAAAGAAGCGACTAGGTACGACCCGGACACTGAATCGTCCTTACTAGATCTTGTACTGACTCACTATGAGGATGACGTTGCGAACCTCCATTATATGCTACCCCTAGGTAAAAGTGGTCACGCAGTTTTAATTTTCGACTTCCATATAACTATCAGTCACGAGCACGCGTCAGCCCAATCCAGACCTAACGTCCGGAAAGCAAATATACCAGATATCATGCACTCAGCATCGTTAGTAGATTGGACAATAGACCCAGAGTCCTCGGTTGAAACGGCCTGGGACGCATTTCGAAATTCATACTTAAAAGTTACCGCACCCCACATCTCTTGGATTATACCAAGGGGGCCGAGAAACTCCCCACCATGGTTCAGTAGGGAAGTTCGCATCCTTCTTCGTAAGAGAAGAAAAATGTGGGATAGATTTAGGTTACTGGGAGCTGATGAAACTAAATCCCAGTATAGAAAAGTCCGGAAAACCTGTGCCTCGACCCTCCGTAAGTCTAGAAAGTTGTGCGAAGAAAAGATTGTAAAGGAATCCAGAGAATGTCCTAAACGCTTGTATTCCTATATAAACCAAAGGACAGGGAGAAAAGGAAATATTCCTGCTCTATGGGGAGACAGTACTGCCGCGTCACTAGTGGAGGACGACTTTGGTAAGGCTCAAGTGTTCTCAAACTACTTCAGCAATGTATATACCATAGAAGCACCCTTCCCATCAGCGCATACAGATCCCCCACACATACACTGGATAGCGTGACCATTAAAGAGCTCGATTTCTTTGGTCTACTAAATAAGCTTGATATGGCTAAACCCACGGGTTCCTATGAATTACATCCTAGGCTACTAACTTCGTTGCGAACCCTTTAAGTATATGCTTTAACCTATGTGTAACGCAGGATCGTTTACCAAAAGACTGGAAAAACGCCATAGTAAGTCCAGTCTTCAAAACAGGTACGAGACATAAAACTTAGAATTACCGCCCCGTTAGCCAAACAAGTGTGGTGGTTAAAATCTTAGAAAAGATTGTTCGAAAGGAGCTGTTTAAGTATCTCGATAAAAACCGGATCCTCTCGGAGAAGCAGCACGGATTAAGAATAGGTTACTCTTGTCTCACTAACTTATCAGCGGCTCGTGAAAGCTGGTGCGCTCTTAAGGACCAGAAGCTACCTGTAGACGTAGCCGTCATTGATTTCAGCAAAGCTTTTGACAAAGTTCCACACAACCGGCTGTTATATAAGTTAAGACATGTCGGGATTGGAGGCAATCTATTTATGTGGATAAAAGACTTCCTAGTTGGGCGTCAACAAAGAGTACGAGTGAACTCAATGTTATCTGGCTGGGAAACTGTGCTTAGTGGAGTGTCCCAGGAGCACAGTTTTGGGGCCAGTGCTATTCCTCTTGTATGTAAATGACCTTCTTCGTCTCCTATCATCATCGGTCTTGCTATATGCTGACGATGTCAAGATATGGAGAACGACACGATGTGAGGGTGATAACTTAGAACTCCAAAATGACCTGAAGAAATTATCCGAATGGTCTGAAACCTGGCAGTTGCCGATAAATACTTCCAAGTGTGTTGTGATGCATATCGGTCATCAAGGTACAGATACGTACACGATGAATAACACTGAGCTACCTGTCGTCCAGACATATAATGATTTAGAAGTCATCGTTAGCCAAGACTTAAAGACTACTGCATACTGCCGTGCAATAGCCGCCAAAGGTTTTAGAACCACATGGTCAATACGTAGGGCTTTTAGTCATGTTGACGCCAAGAAGTTTTTGACTTTGTAAACAGTGTTCGTACGTCCTAAACTTGAGTGCTGCATACAAGCGGCCAGCCCATGCTTAGAAAAAGACAGTGAGCTTCTGGGAAGGGTTCAGAGAACGGCGACTAAGCTGATTCCCAGAATAGCGAAGCTTCCATATGAAGCTCGACTGGCCAAGCTGAACCTTTTCCCGTTGTCATATCGCAGAACTAGAGGCGACTTGATTACAGTTTTCAAATTGCTTAGTGCCAAATTTGCACCTGATATGCCCTCATTTTTCTTGTCTTTCAAAACAGAGAATTTACGAGGACACTCCAAAAAAGTTCACAAGCCCAGAACAAATTACTTGTCAGCTGACTATCGACTTTCCCACCGAATCATCAACGAGTGGAATTCCTTACCTCAGCACGTGGTTGAGGCTCCGTCCGTCGATTCCTTCAAAAGAAAGTTGAATGAACTGAGATACCATCATTGCCAGGACTAACACAGGCCATCAGGCCTCCTGTCCTTCCCAAACTGAAACTGAATCTGTAATAAAAGCTAAATTAATAGCGGACGCATTCAAAAAATGGCGCTGCATTTTTCGATGGCACTACCACGAAGTTCGCACGGTTTAACGCGTCCTACTTGTCATTGATTGTTAATTTTCATGGCTGGAAAGGGATCAAAAGGGTTCGCTTTGTTTCAGATCAATAGTCAAGATGTGTGGGATGCAGACGATCGGGAATATCTGAACATAATATCACCCAAAGGTTGTTTGTCAATTTATTTCTTATTTTGTGTTAGTTGTGCAAAAAACAGCACAAAAAGTTCTGGACATGCACAGACAAGAGTCGGCTATCGCTGAAAAGCAGGATAACAGACAAAGAAATGTAAGGCTGAGAAAATGCTACTTTCTATGACTTTTGCCTTCTACTTTGAGAGATTCCGGTGATGTCAAATAAGAACGATATATTTATACATATGCTAGTGTAACGTGTTTGTCCCCGTTTTTATCCACTTTCATTTTTAATGTTTTTAAGGATTGTTTTTTATGTAGATTGCAGTTGTAGTTGCTGTGTCTTCCTATATAATTGCTCCGTTTGCATAATGTATAACGTTATCCCAGAATCTCTAAATAAGGACATCCTTTCAATCTATAGCTCCAAGCCACTCTATAAATTGTACCTAGAAAAGAGGGAACCAGGTTGGTGCTGTTTATCCATGATATTCGTACGCATGTATTTCTTAGCTCAATTTAAACTACTAACTCAAATTCAGATTTGTATAGTGAAGACAGAACTCATACGACCTGTGCTATTCCTTTCCTAGTATGCTTCTGTGAGTGTTTCTTCTTGAGTGAGTCAGTTGGAGGTGCGGACACCCCTACTTCGTGTAACAGGTTTCAATAATTGATGACTCAGTGTGAAAACCTGTATGCCACAAGTATTTTGTTTGTTTTCCACTTTTCTATTCGCCTGCTATATCCTCTGAAATTGCACAGGTGGCTGCCCTCTGTGCTTTTTCTAGGATGTACGAGTCATCTTTTAAAGAGGTTTGCAGCCCAAACTCAGTTCTCAAGTTTCGTTCTCACTAAGGTTATGTATACTGTAGTAAACATAGTACTATCTAACTTGGTGGATGTCCGTTTTAAAGCCCATAGAGTTCTAAGCCCCTTAGCTGCAACCTCAGGGCAATGGGACGTAGTCTTAATATCATGACTCTATGTCATGGACATATTATTCATTCTCAATCCAGGAGATTGGATCGAGGGGCAGAACACTTTTGGGATCAGTTCAACTGGCCTTCAGCCACACTTCGGTTTCCCACGATCTCTAGTCAACCTGAATGGCAAGTTAATGTAGGTCCTCCGTCCCTTTACGAAGTTGAAAAAGCCATAGGAAATCTGAAACGAGGGAGAGCAGCAGGCCATGACAGGTTTACTCCTGAGATTTTTAAGGATGGTGGTCCAGTATTAGCAATGAGATTAACTGAGGTCTTAGGTAGAATTTGGGAACTGGACGTAATCCCATCTGACTGGTCTCAATCACTGATTGTGCCAGTCTGTAAGAAAGGACAAAAGTCCTCTTGTAACAATCACAGAGGAATCAGTTTGACTAATATAGTCTCTAAAATATTAGCTTCAATAATACTTCGACGCTCGTGAAGAGCAGATTAGAGAAAACCAGGCCGGTTTTCGACCTGGACGTGGTTGTATAGATCAGATATTCACACTACGTCAGGTTCTAGAACACAGACACACATTCAGATGCCCCACAATGGTAGTATTTCTCGACCTTAAGGCGGCATTCGACTCTGTTGATCGTGAGGTTTTATGGCAGTGTTTGTCACCGAAAGGAGTACCAAAGAAGTACATTAACCTTGTAAAGGCTCTCTACTCGAACACAACTGGTAGAGTGAAAGCTTATGACGAACTGTCATCAGAATTGATTACCTCAAGTGGTGTTCGTCAGGGCTGTCCACTCTCCCCATTCTTGTTTAACTTTGTCATTGATGTACTTTTAGAGATAACACTTTCCTCGTCTATATTTCCAGGGGTTGAACTTCTACCGGGAGGTTCACTTGTTGACTTATAATATGCTGATGACGTAGCTTTATTTGGTGAAGACGCTGACAAAATGCAGTGTTCTGACCACTCTAAGCAACAATGCAAGCATGTTCGGGATGAGATTCTCCCTCTCGAAATGCAAAATGTTGCTTCAGGATTGGGTTACATCGACACCCGAACTAGTGATAGGGAGTGAAGTAATTGAGCGTGTCGATCGTTTCACTTATCTTGGAAGTCTCATCAGCCCTTGTGGTCTGGTGTGTGACGAAATCTCAGCACGGATACAGAAGGCTCGACTAGCTTTTGCCAACTTGCGTCATTTATGGCGTAGGCGAGATATCCGTCTATCAAACAAAGGACGGGTTTACTGCACGGCAGTTCGTTCCGTCCTACTTTATGGCAGTGAAACATGGCCGGTAAGAGTAGAGGATATCCGTAGGTTACTAGTATTCGATCATAGGTGTCTTCGAAACATTGCTCGTATATCACGGGACCATCGAGTAAGTAACACAGTTGTTAGGAAACGGGTACTAGGTAAGGATGGAAAATCAATTGATGAAGTAGTGAAACTTCATCAGTTGAGATGGCTGGGACACATGTTACGTATGCCCAACCACCGACTGCCTCGACGTGCTATGTTCAGTGGTATAGGAGTAGGTTTGAAGAAAGCTAGGGGCCGCCAAACCAAAACATGGCACAAGTCCATGAAGTCACTGACAAGTGGACTGAGTCATGTTGGTAGGTGTAGACTACCTGGTTGGGGACCACGAGATGATAGCAACCGATGGTTAGAGACCCTGAATGACATGGCTCAAAATCGTTTGCAATGGCGCAGGTGCATCCACTCTTTGTGTTCTCCCAAATTCTAATCTTCTGAATTCTTCATGTCCTTTTTTCCTCTTTCCGAATTTATTTCACTGTATTATACTCTTTAAACAACATCTTCAAACCCTAATGTTTCTGATTACTGCTTATACTTTCACTACCTCTGTCACTATGGGATTTGAGTCGACAACTGCATCTCTGTGCTAATGTGGTGTGGCAACTCGAACTGATGTACGTTCGTACGAATTTCTACGTTGTTACTGACTGACTCCAAGATTCTTGTGAGACCGCACGACGGGTACAGGCACTTCCCCTATGCTGTACCTATTTACCTTTGTATCCCCAACATGCTTGCAGACACACTTGCAAATCCACTTTTTAGAATATCTAAGTCCGCCTGAAGATCATATGCACCTGCTTCTCCTGCTACTTCTCGTTAGATTTCTACATTATCAGCGTATAGTAACACTGGGGACTAAATCATACTTGGGAGTTAATTTACATACAGTATGAAAAGTAAAGGATCTAGGACAGAGCCTTGTGTTGCTTCGCTAAGTACTGTTTTCCAGAAGGAGTACTTGGAATTTATTCCAGGAAATTTTTAAGCCGTCTTAGGAGAGGTCTGACGGTACCTAGATTTTCCAGCTTCAAGAGTAGTCTATTTGTTGGCACCTTATCAAATGCTTTGCCGAAGTCTATGTAGAAAACATCCGCTGGTTTTCATTATCTAGAACTTTTATCCATTTCTCTCTTACTACTAAGAGATTCGTTTTGTAAGACAATTTTTTTCTGAAGCCATGTTCTATGTTCAACAAGCTGTTGGTTTCCACGAATGTCATTATGGTCTTTTTGACTATTCTTTCCAGTGTTTTAACCACGACACTGGTGAGACTGGTAGGTCTTTGGTTTGATGGAAGTTGTCTTGACCCTGTTTTATATTTTGGAGTGACGATCGCATCCTTCGAGTCCGCAGGTAACTCACCTTGGCCAATTGACAATCAGTATCATAGTCAATGGGGTAGCAATATATTGTGCAATTAGTCTCAAGGTTTTAGGGTGTAGTTCACCCAGGCCTGTTGACTTTTCTATGTCTAAAGCGCTAAGGACATTAAGTACATCGTCTCGATCGAAGTCTACAGTAAGCAGATGACTTTGTACTTGGGTCTAGTTCTTCGTGACTGAAAACTGTCCCGAAATTGTCTGCCATAGCCTCTGCTCTTTCCTGATCATCCTCTATCATTCAAGATCCACTTCCTTCCGTAGCTAGGTTGGGAATCCAATGCTGCGTCCTTGTTCTGTGATTTATGTACGAGAATAGTCTCTTAGGCTGCTTGATTACAGATCATGCCAACTACATCCCGGATTTTTGCTGAGCTTCCCAGATTGTAATTATACACTTATTTCTTACCGACCTGTAACGTTCCATCGTACTTGCTATGCCAAGGCTGATGGTTATGTCCCAGCATTTCTTTTGTCTTAGTAAACGTCGAATATCCTGATCTATCTGGGGATGGCTGTGCTTCTTTTTTGGGACTGTCTAGGGTATTAAAGGTTGAGTTACTTGATTGTAGAACTGCTGGAAATAACTTCTTACCTCTTCTATTGATGCCCCTGAGTCAATTATTTAGTTTTCAGCCGAGGCTGCAGAGTTGATCGCCTTCATGTCTGCCTTCCATACGTTAGGACGAGCCGGCGCAACTGTTTGACAGGCCATCCCAGCCATGAACTTGAATAATATGACTGCATGATCACTTCTTAAATGTGGGAGGAAAGTCATTTGATCGACATTATAACCGTGTGTGTATGAAGAATATGTCCAAGAGAAACGAGAAGATTCTCTTTACTTATGAAAAATGACTGACCTGTCAATGAGGTCCGTCTTAAGCTGTTTCCTAAAATCTTATCATCTTTGCAGTCCGGTTTGGCGTCAGGTGCGAAGGTCCCACTCTATTTCCTTACTTTTATTTTTCTGGGTGTAACTGTGTGGCCAATCATTGACCTTATGTCTCTTGACCACACGCTCAGGCTTCGCTCCTCCCTGAGCCTGTTTTGCGTTGACATGTTAATCCGGAACTGAAACCGTAGATTCACCTACCTTAGTGCTACCTATAAAATGTTTCTTCTCAGTGCGCTTTTTCCTTTTTCTCGTAACCATGCCTACATCTGTCTGTTTGTTGTCCGCTACGCTATTGGGGTTCACTTTGGCAGTCTCATCCAAAGCTGGACTCGTGATAACGCTTGCTACTTTCTCAAAAACTGAAATCTGCTGATGTGCTGCCGGCTGTTTATCTGGGAGTATCTTTCTAATTATGTTCGGCAGCTCAATCGCTTGAAGAATCAGCATAGACTTTGTAGAGCAACATGCTTTGCACAGCCAACGTGATAGTGGTTTGTAGCACCTTTTATATGCAGCCGATGTGAGTCCGGTGCACATGTTTTGATACCACTTGCTGCAGTTGTCACATTACATTCCATCATCGACCTGGAAAAAGCATGCATGTCTACCACAACGATGTTTTACGTGCATCATAAAATTGGTTAGTGATCTCACAGAGAGAACAACAAAAATCTGATCTCTAAGATAAGTGTCTCCAAAGGCTTTAAAGGTGATAGACGATAAACTCAAAAAGCTGAGGTTTATATGTTACTGCAACTGAAAACAAAACTCCGACTTAAATAGATACCAAAAAGGCCTTAACACCTTTGGACACAAATAATACTAAAAGATGTACTAAACGAGGAAAAAAATGCCACTACCGTTTTTGTTTCCGTACTCAAATAGTACAGATGGTAAATTACTTTAGAAAGAATGATGCTCTTGGCGATTACTTCAATTGAAATAAATCCAATTAAAGCGAAAACAGTAATCTTGGTTCTGTTGCATTTAATTGTGCTTAAGATGTAAACCATGAATTTGGTCCTAATTTACCTAGAAACCTCTAAGTACGCCCGATTATACTGAAAGCTAAATCGAATCAGTCTATAGATAGGTTTGTAGTGAAATAGTAATTCATTAATTAGGGTTGTTTTGTGGAACATTGGAATTTTCAAAGCACTATTATGTCACAAATATATAAATGTATTCAGAAAGGGGTTTTGTGGATATTATAATAATTTAATAGTTGCATTCATGAGTCAATTGAAGCTAGACCACCATGGAAAACCTGGAAGCACTGGACGGCCGTTTCGTCCTAGTATTAAACCCCTCAGCGGCGTGCATCCACGATCCTGGTCGCGGGATTCGAACTTAACACCTATCGGTCTCGCGCTCGAACGCTTAGCCTGTAGACCACTAAGCTGGCATCCAATGGTGTTAATGTCTAGTGGGATCGTGGATGTGCACTTCTGAGGAGTCCCATGCTAGGACGGAACGACCGTCTAGTGCTTCCAGGTTTTCCATGGTGGTCTATTAAATTGATATAAATATTTATTCTTTTGTCCACCAAACCTGCTACTTTTTGATGTTTTGCCGAGTCGCGAAAGCCACATATTGATGCTTCCTGCGAACAGCTCCCGCGTTGTCGCGGAGCTATTGCAGGTGTAAGAAGTCAAGTTCACTATGTACTGGTGCAAATAACTGGTTCTTTGTTGCAAAACCTGATTTTATGAATTGGGAACATTCAGCGTCTGTGTTCAGTAAAGTTGTGTCCTAAAGATTGTTCATGTCCAGTATTTATACATACTGAATATATAATCTTTGGTGGTTTGATCATGTTTAATGCATGTTTCAGTTGATTTTCTGTCGAGTATTGTTCGTCGACTATGGTCCTGGGTAGAAAATTGAGAGGGACTAAATTTGTTATATGACTCTGTGGATTGATGCATAGTTGTATTGAAAACTATCGGTCCATCATCACCCCTTGGTTGGGGTTTAAGATCCAAAAACTCAGAACCATGTTAGTGTACCAGCTGGTTGATAATAAAAAATGCAGATTGTCTCACCGTAGTTTTCTATTGATGCCTCTTTGTAATAATGTTTGTGTTTAAATAAATAAGTCATTACAGAATTTGACAGTTTTTATTCATTTGGTGAACGTGTGCATTAGATTTGTTCTGCACTGCGTCTAGCCTCAAGGCGAGGTATTTTTCTGTTTGGCATGGTATGTTTATGAAGACTATTTTACTCTTACAGTAATTTCGCCCAAATATATATGTGTAATATGTAATTGTCAGCGTCTGACATCCACTTAAAACTGTTGTCTTTGTCCGTAATATCTTACATACTTTATCAATTTATTCTTTCCCTTGTTTTCAGATTGAATCTCTTGATATTAAAAATTCACTCATACTCCCATATGACAAATCCCCGAAACATGCTCCTGGTATGGGTGTGAGATTGAGAGCAAGTCCTGATGATTTTCCTGTTGCCCATCGAAAGCTGTTAGATCAAGGTCGAACCCAACGTTTCAATACGTGTATCAACTCAAGTATAACAGATTTAGGTATGTGACCTTGCTTTAGTTCTTTGTAAAGCTTTGTGTTAACTTCGAAGCCTTGTAACAAAGAAAACATTTTCGACCTTTTATAAACATCAAAATAGTTGACACAGACTGCTGAGAATATGAAGATTTCTCACTTTTCACGTTGACAATACATTAGTTACCATGAGCATTTGCGTAGAGAAGTTGGGAGATTCGTTTCTTTCTCTCTGAATTGTCCCATAAATTTACTATTTCAGGACATTGGTTTTACTAATTTCTTTGACGGATTGATTATATTCTCACTAAATTAAAAGTGTGAAAAAACATTTAACCGTTAAACTGGACTGCTGTATGTGCAAGAGGGTTTGAAAAACATACTTCCTAACCACTTAGATTTAGGCTCCTGAAGAAACAAACGCTACATGAATTTACTATGACCACCACCTGTCCAAGGAACGCGTATCTTTGATTTGTTCCATAACCTTGTGGTTTGAGCTTTTAGGTTAAAAACCTAGCTAAAAGTTATCTCGTAATAAAAGTGAATTTGGGAGACTGGGTAGTTTCACTACCCAAACGGAAAAACGTCCTTTGTAGACGAGAATGTCCGGAGCTTTAAACGGATTCCAAACCAATGGTGCACATGGGCTCCAGTATCCTGAAAGAACAAATGGCGTGTGAACCAGTCGTTGGTCACCGGCTACCATGGGAATGCATCTCCTCACGATGCTCCACTGCCTTGTGGATCAGACCTTCAGGTCGAAGGCTCCGGGTGTGGCCCTTTAAGAAAACCACCTGCTTCGGTTTGGGTACCCGGGCACTATCACAGCCCTCACACAAATCAAATGAGATTTTTTTGGCGCGTATGTATTTGGTGCCTCCTTGTACCAATATTTATGTGTTTAAATAAATAATAAATAAATAAGATGAGAATTAGGGATAACTTGCTTGTTGCAGCATCTCTAGAACCAAAACCAGGGAGTCGAGAAGGACCAACAGTAGCCAGTCCTGTGCAGCTTTCTTTCATACCACGACACCATGTCATACACTGACCACCTCTCTGCTTTTTCCAACCAGTCACAGCGTCGGAAAATGATGCACGACGAGGAATTCTCTGGGACGACATTCGTAGGACATGTCCAAGATACTGAAGTCAATGTTTCAAGATAGTGACACTAATTGAACTGTCGTTTCTGTGTCCGAACACACGATGCTGAACCTCTGCATTACTAACATGGTGTTGTCACTGGATATCAGCAGTCTTTCGGAGACAACGATGATCAAACATAGAGAGTCGTCTAACATCCTCAACTCGGCGAGGCCAGGTTTCACAAGCATAGAGCAGAACTGCTCCTACCAACGCGTTGTAGATTCAACTTTTTACAGCCAGACTAATGTCACGATGGCGCGAAAGATTCCACAGATTAGAATAAACCGCTCTGACTTTCATTATACGTGAATTGATCTCATCACTCACGTCACTACCAGCACTATCTCCTCACTACCCAGAGTGAGTGCACGTCCATAATCCTACCAGCCTTGTAAAAGTATTTTGCACTTGGAAGGTGCAAAGCATATAAAATACACTTTATTTAATATCATCATAGATATGCTGCTTAAATCAATCTTTTCATCGTGTTAACTTTCACGAGGTTGGTTTCATACCTTCGGATTTATCCAGTTATTCACTTGTGCTGTCATTTATTTATCATTAGTTTTCAGTGATGTAGATTTCGAAAACATCGTTTGAGGAAAATAGTTCAAAATGGTTTTGTTGGTCTTCTACTTTAGTATTCTTTCGTTTTTATCTGGTTAGATTTTTAATGAATCAGTCATAAACAGCATAAACAGTATTATATTCCCACAGTTGTTACTTCAGTTAGAGACCCTATAATGTATAGCCTATGGTTTATTAATAGTATTTCTACTCACCCACATTCCTTTTGAGTTTTTTTGAGATAATTCAAGAAAAAAGAACTGTATATCAGCTCTAAGGCCATTTATTCTTTCATTCACCGTGGTTAAATCACCTGTCAACTTATATTGGAATAAAGTAAACAGTTGATTTTACAGTAGCTATTCATCTGAGTTATTGTGAATTCAAGTAGCTTTTATAGTCCTTAAAGGTGATCTGCGTTGTACGCACATATTATTGGGATCTCTTTCGTAAACTTGTGAATGGTGTTAAATATGTTCCTATGTAGGTGAAATTCCTATGTAACACCCATACTGTCTCATAACCCCTACCAATGACGCCACAAAATGGTAATTTTGAAGATATCCTCTTTAGTCTAATCAGTTGCTATTTTCGACAGTGCATTGAGAAGACATAGTTAGACTAAGGAAAGCGATATATTTACGTTACATATTTCGAACAATCTAGTCACACATACTCGTCACGGCATTTCAAAAGAAAACCAATAAAAGTCAATTAAATAAAGGTTCAATAAATATACAGCGATAATTGGAAATAAAGGAGAGAAAAATCAATATACTGTGGGAAGAATAGGAGATTGTCACATTATCCTAAACCCTACAACGAGTTAACGATTATCAGGACAGATTCAAGGTTAAAACAAACTGCTTCTGGACACATAAAGGAAGTTTGAGTTTTCTAATGATCGAGGCATTCTACAAACTGAAGAATGCGTACTTGATAAATCCTAAACTATGAGTTGGAAGCTGTTTCAAGGCAAGTTATATGACCTGTTTTGATTGTGTTATGCAATCGATGAGTATGGTTTCGCTACTCTGTCAACCATTTATGGTTATCTGAATGTGAAATTGGTTGATATTGCTCTTCAATTTCATGCTCGTCAAAAAAGATAAAAATATCCTAATGGCTAAATGTTTTAATGCCTTAAAAAAAACCCTCCAGAGTAGATTAAATATCGTGTTTGCAAGTCCGATAAAGGTTTAGGTGTTGTTGTGAACAAATGTGACTATAAGAAAGATATTTTATCCATTATTGTAAAGAAAGGCAGTTTATCGTAGTCCCCGGTCGTGATGTTAGGAAATTGTAAACTAGAGTAAACTGCAATCTAGTGAAAAAACTCCTTAACATAAATATTATTAACAAAGAGGAACTTAATATTCTAAATCTTATGGAATCTAAACTCTCAAATTTGTACGGATTACCTAAAGTTCACAAATCGAGTAGTTTCTAAAAATCAATATTATATATATGCAGTTCACCTACACATAAACTCGTAAAATAGTTGACAAAACTGCCAAACCTATTGCACAACAAATTATATAAGTTTTTGTTAAAAGATACGTTTGAACTTATTGATCTTTATTTACTAATATGAGTGCTGTTAGAGCTATGAGGGTGGTTATCACTCTCCGGTTGCCCACACCATGGAATGTTTCTTCTAGAGGCATCTGAAAAGGACATTGGGTTAAAAGCGGTCTTAGTGATCTGGGAGCGTGACCGCATTGCCCAAGAGACAGATGCTTGAGGCCAGTCACACACGACCTTTTCGTGGGTAATTTTCCTGCCAGCTCCGTACTTGTCGAGACCTTACCACCGGAGACGGAAATCTGTGGATTAAGGCAAGGTGTGCATTCTTAAGATGGACTTTTTCTAACCCACCCTTCTTTTGTGGGAAGGTAACATCGCTGTCATGCTGGTTGTCTGAAGTAAAAATCTTATTGTCGTCACACCTCTGTACAATTAGCAATAAGATTTCGCCTTCGGACCTTGGGTTTGTTGTTTTTTATTCTTACCGCTCTTCAGCGGACCTTTCTGGTATTGTAGAACCTTGAGAAACGATTGTTCCAACCAATATAGCTCAATTGATTCATTCCGATCGGCAAGCTCGACCACCAGTTCAAGGTAGCAGGGTCGGGATTCACTAATATACCTTTAGTGAAAACTGTTGGTTTTCTTTTTTGATTGCTTATGTAGTATGTTTCCTACTTGGCCAACACAATTTAGAGAATCACTTTTATTATGTGCTGACTAAGTTCGGTTCATAATTGAGGGTGAACGCTTTCGACCAGTGTTTGATGTAGGTATGGTTAACATTGCAGAAACTTTCTTAATTGATGTTTATATGTCACATGTTGGAAATATGACGAGTAAACTCAGTGCGGTCACTGTATAGGTGGTACATGCGTAATATCCTGGTTTTATGTGATAGGGACTTCGATGTGACTTCTGTCATGAAGATAAAAACAAATGAAAAACTAAGAAAGCTAATTTTTGGGACATTAGTACGCTTAATTCTCAATCTGTCATTACTGACATTTGGTTTCTGTGACTTCCTTTTTTCCCTAATCAAAAGCTTTCGTTTAGTCTGTAAATTATTATCATATCTTTTTGAAATTTATCGTAATTTGAACACGAATTTCGTATCCTGTTTTGGTACCCTAAATACCTTACATTGTATATCCTCATTTACTGTGCATTTTAGTCCAATCATTCATATATTTAGTCTTGTACTCTTTTGAATTAAAATTAAGTTCCGATTAAAAGGTTTTACTACAGTCATTTTTTCTTCCCAACCATTCGGTGTCCGCGTAGCGCACCGTTAGTTAACGAATGGGATAGTTCTCCGTCTACAAGACCAATCATTCAGAAGTCGGATTCACGCATTTGCGGTCTCAAGGTTATGTTAAGTAGTCTAAAGAATCAAAGACAGATTCCCCTGCACATCCAACTACACGGCCAGCGGGTAGACCAAGATCATAACAACTCCGTTATTAGATAAACTTAATAACATACAAAACGATAGTGTACTAACTTGTGAGGTAATTAGCAACCAGTTTCCTTTTCTAGACATACTTTTGAGTCAAAGAGATAACGGAAATATGAGACGACCAGTTTATAGAAAATTCACGTAAACTGATCAAATATTCGGCTTCCACATGATAATAAAGTAATATATTTACGAAATCCCAGCGAGTAGAAAATTGAGTTTCGTTCCTCAGTCTAAATCACTTCTTCCGTAAATAACCAAGTGAAATCAACTTACGTTTATGTAGTGCAGAGGAACAAAGCAGAATATTTATTGCAAACAAAATGCGTCTGACCATGTCACTCGTGTCATTTCGGTTAAGGTGAGTCTACGTAAAACATCGTGTATTTATGTGTGTATGTCAGCAGATATGCAAAATGTGATATTTGAATTATGGCAACTTTCAGAGTTTCTGTTCTCTGTAGTGAGGCGTGGTAAGGTGGATCTTCAACAGAGTTTAACGAATCTTCAACGAATATACGATTAAAGTGGATATAAAACTAATATCTCAATCATTAACACTAAACGGTTATCCTTTAGAGTTTCTAAATTTGTATAAAAGCCAGTTAACCCTGGAACTTTTTCTTGATTATGTTACGAAGAAAAGGTTTTACATCACATTGATTTATGAAGGAGAGTCAAATAGCATTTTTGTAAAGTAGAGAGTAGACATCCATCGAAAAATCACAGTAGTGAAAATTAGTTGTTATCAAGAAGATGGAGTCGAAGACTCCACATAGTCTTAAATATCCCACTGTATTTACCGATTCACATGTGTGTGGACACACAAGGGGATTAATCGAAGATTGTAATATAGGGTAACGAAGCATGCATCAAAATGCAGTAATAATTATTTAGTCTCAACTGCCCCGAAAAACTCAAGGAGTAAAAGACCATGTCCATCGATTGCATAACACAATCAAAACAGGTCATATAACTTGCCTTGAAACAGCTTCCAACTCATAGTTTAGGATTTGTCAAGTACGCATTCTTCAGTTTGTAGAATGCCTCGGTCATTAGAAAACTCAAACTTCCTTTATGTGTCCAGAAGCAGTTTGTTTTAACCTTGAATCTGTCCTGATAATCGTTAACTCGTTGTAAGGTTTAGGATAATGTGACAATCTCCTATTCTTCCCACAGTATATTGATTTTTCTCTCCTTTATTTCCAATTATCGCTGTATATTTATTGAACCTTTATTTAATTGACTTTTATTGGTTTTCTTTTGAAATGCCGTGACGAGTATGTGTGACTAGATTGTTCGAAATATGTAACGTAAATATATCGCTTTCCTTAGTCTAACTATGTCTTCTCAATACACTGCCGACATTTTCTTGGCAGGGACTTATTGATAGGAAATTCTTTTCATACATTACTCTCTAATAAAGTTTTTTTCAGAGTGTGCCTAATGTATTAGTTATGACGAGTGTTGATCTCTGTGTTGTTCTTTTCTTTTAAACATCATCTCTTTCATTCTAGTCGTATTGCGTCAACTTTCTTGGTCTGGAATTCCAGGAGAACTTCGACCAACAGTATGGAAATTGTTATGTGTAAGCATTTGGTTTTTTATCCAGATATTTTGGTCTATTTATTTTCATAATGGTATGAGTATTTATTAACGGGTTAACTTTTCACCGATTATCTCCATAAGATTCTGTTTCCTTTTCTATTTATTCTACATAATGTACGTGTAAGTTTATGCATATCGGTGAGGCATTTTCTAATACACGGAGGTTATTTGTGATATCTTTTTATTTGTAAAGAGTAGTGGGTTTGTGATTCAAGTACTCGATTTTCACTTAATGTGTTGCAAATTTGAATATCACTCCGTTTACTTCGGTTTGAACATCTATGTTGTATCGTAAGCCTTCGCAAATACAAGAGGCACTACTTGGAGCTAAATATATAAATGCGTTCTTCATACACTCACTCAGTAGTGGATATGTATTTCTTCATTTTCGGACACAAAATACAGCCGAATAGTCTTTTTTTGGTTTTGAAATCATTTTATCTTAATTGAACGCTTTCATTGCTAGTCGTTTACATTATAATACAAATACTTAATACAATCGTATGAGGAATCGTAGTTCTAAACTGTAATGTTAAGCTAAATTAATGAATACATCTGTGTACACTAGAATTCTCAACCAAAACTGTTGTGTTTGAACTGTCAATAATGTATCGTTAGTTGACTGGCTAGATCACTGAATGACGGTGTCACGTCTGAGATGTAGTGTTAATCAATATTGCAAAGGAAGTAAATTTGTCATCGTAATTCGTATTTTAACCAAGTATTCCCTACTCTTTTTTAAAATCACTTTTACGTTCCAGGATTATCTTCCAACTAGTCTTGAACGACGTGTCACTGTACTAGCGGATAAACGTAAACAATATACACTTTTTGTTAGTCAGTATTTTCATTTACGTGAAAATGTTAAACATAAACCAATGTTTCATCAAATTCAGAAAGATTTAAACAGAATGACATTACTTTATCGAAGACCCGAAATGGTTGCAGTAAGTTATATTGTTGTTGAGCGTTTAAACAAAAAATATAGTTTTCTGTATGTTATATGTTGTCAGCAATATGATTAAATTGTAGCTTAGAAATGGGATAAAGATTGGATGGATGCTTTGGATGTTTATAGGGATGATTAAAATGTATTTTACACATCTACTGTTTCCCTGAATCGCTCTGAAAATACTTTCACACGACTGAGACTTTATACTTTCGGCAAAATTCTACTCATTACGTTCGCGCTGAAATAGTACTTTCACAAAAATAAAACAACAAAACTGGACATTTAATGTTTAAATGGGGTTAATAAATTTGAAGAATTCACCTAGAGCAGTTGGGAAACTCTGGTTTTGAACCAACAGCGGTGCTCAAGACAAGGAAATCAAATAATTAATTTCGTTAGTAGAGAAAACCATATATATGAAGTATAATTCGAAAGGAATAAATAACATAGAGGAACGAAGAGTGTGAGATATTTAAACAAAGATAGCAAACAATATATTTTCACATCTACTACCAATCTTGAACCATTCCATTTATCTTCAGTCACATATTACGCTTACCTTGTTCACCTTGACCAGAAGGTTTGTAGCGGCTTATCCCTAGTTGTTTTCGACCTTCTTATATAGTAACTGAATGTGTATAACATGTATCCTAATTATCTCGTCCAGTGAGTTAACAGTGTCATTAACCAAGTTACCATCACTACCCAGTATCCTACGCTTAACCATCACAGGTTAGTCTCACCATAAACAGGTAATCCTTTAAATGAATTGATAATTGAATAATATCAGCCCATACATTGTTTCAGTTTGCCAATGGCCACGTTTTAAGGCTATAACTGAATACACTGCTAACGGCCGTACTCAGAGTATTATTATTATTATTACTATTAATTATTATTATTCACGACATTGCACGGCCATCTTCCATTTTCTTCATTGAGTAACTACGTCACATCCGACCCGGTTAAAACCCACTGGTCACGGCTTCTCATTACAACTCTGAGAATTACCTCTCGAAGCTAGTCCACTAGTGAGCACATCACAATCATCAGTATAGGGTTTTAGAGATTGTTTGGTTTCAATTGAGATCATGAACCGATAGACGTTAAACCACTATTGAAAACCTGGAAGTTGTAGACAGCCGTTTCGTTCTAGTATGGGGCTCGTCAACAGTGCACATCCACGACCTCTCATGCGGTACTCGGACCTTAAATATAAACAAAAACTTGAAAGATCAGTTCGTGATTAAAACTACACTCAACAAATCATCCATACTGATCAGAATCATGTGGTCACTGGTGACTAGCTTCAAGATATAACTCCTGAAATCTTATTGACAATCCATAACCAGTTTAGTTAAATCCATGTCGGGCGTGAGACATTTATCCAGCACAAGCAGTGGATGAAGGGTTGCGCAATATGATGGATTGGTTGGAGTTAGACATTAATACTGTTAGATTCCGGCTCAGTGGTTTGGAGATTAAGCGTTCGGGCGCAAGACTTGAAGGTCTTGTGTTTGATTCCCACCTGTGGTTTCTTGGATGCACACTGATTAAGAGTCCCATAATAGGACGAAACGGCTGCCCAGTGCTTTCAAGTTTTCAATGGTAGTCCAACATTGATCGGTTCATGATCCCAATTAAAATTCAACAATCTCTACAATCCTATACTGATTATTATTACCATATTACTGTTATTGATTTATTTTCAAATTTATCAGTTTTCAGGTACGATTCTCTAAAATAACTTTTACCGTCTCAGTTTTTTTGTCCTTCACACTGTACAGATGTTTGAACGAATTCTATTTGTCTGGTCTATGCGACATCCAGGAATTGGTTATGTACAAGGTATCAATGATTTGTTAACTCCATTCTTCATTGTATTTTTATCAGAATACACTCATGTTGGTAAGTTTCTTATATTTTGTTGTGAATCCTTTTTTTCGATATCTATTAAATATTTGCATTATTCTACGTTTATTTTGATATAAAATGTATAATACAGTATCTGTGACAACTTCGCTTAATATGGATAATGTTATCCATTCATTTCTATCATATTTGCGCACACTATTCTGTAGTTTTATCCCTCTTTATTCTTCTTTGTTCAATTTCTATCTTGTATCTACATTGATAAAACAAAGCATTTTACACACTACTCCAAAACTAGCATAATCCAACAGAAATAGTTATGTAATTAGCATTATATGGACAATTGTTTATTTTCCATAGTTAGTAACTTAGTACTACTCAGATTCTCTAGAAATCTAACTTCATGTAGGTAATATTGGTATTTAAAGGCGTATTAGTGTGTGTATGTTTGAGACCTTAGTAAAGCCCTCCGTAGAAGTAATGGTGACTGAAAAAATAACCAGTTATTTTTAAAGTTTAATGTTAACATTTGTTTATCCATGGTAAGAATATTTCGAAATTCCAGGAAAACGTTTAGGCAGGTTAAATAGACGAACCACTGTCAGTTGCACATTAGTCAGTTAGTTAGTTCTAAGCTTTTTTTAAAATAAAATATACAGTATTTAGTTAGCTAATGTTTGAGATGCAGCCCAGATATACATATTGTTTAGTTTATGTATTATTATTATGAAGAACTATTAATGACTGTTAACTACAAATTATTTGAGGCACTAATAATAAATGTAGCTATTTTAAACTAACCTGCTCATCGGATATTCCGAAGTCATTAAAGCGCACTTTGTTTTTGATCATTTCCTGCATGTAATAACAATTGTACATTTGTTGAATAGTTCAATAATCGCCATTATTAATAGTACTAATTTTGTTTTTAAAAAAATAGCAGTGGTAGTTCATTCGGGGCCCAATGTATTGGTTCTTCCTTCTGAATATTTTGAACAATCTGGTCACATAATATGATTCTATGACAGAGGCCAAAAGTACCCATCAAGAAAACTTATTACGCTGCTAAACAGGCTGTGATTTAAAGGACTAGGCACATGATCCCAAATGAACCTAGAAAGTCCACATAACAGTCAGTCATCTACGACGTAGGACAAGGCACATATATGCATTGGCCCAAGTTGTAATACCTTACAGCAAGATAAACACCAAATTCATAGTAATTACTTCAGTGGTAGTAATATATAAAAGAAAAATTGTGTATAAAGATATAATACAGGAAGAAAGGATTAGTTCGTGGAAAGAAAGACATAAAGTGATTTTAATTTCACGGTGTAAGGGAAGAAAAATAGTGTATACATCTACACCATTGTGATGGATTCTGAGCCATGTCACCCACTGTCTCCAACCATTGACTGCGATAGTCGCGCGGACCCCAGCCAAGTAGTCCACATCTACCAACTTGGCTCAGACCAGAATTTAGTAACTTCATGGACTGATGTCACATTTTGGTTTGGCCACCCCTAACTTTCTTCGAACTGTCTCCAACACTAATGAGCATTGCGCGTCGTGGTACTCGGTGTCCAAGCATACGTAACACCGTGGCCCAATCATTTTAGTCGATGAAAATTCACAACCTCATCAACTGATTTATCATCATTCCATAATACCCTGCGTCTAACCTCACTATTACTTACCCGGTGATCCCAGCAGACGCCAGCAATATTTCTAAGGCACCTGTGGTCGAATACTAGTAGCTTACGAGTGTCTTCTACTCTTAATGGCCACGTATCGCTGCCGTAAATTAAAACAGAACGGACTGCCGCGCGGTATGCTCGTCCCTTAGTTGATAGACGTATATCTCACCTTCACCATAGGTGACGTAAGTTGGCAAAAGCCAAACGAGCTTTTTGAATCCGTGATGAGATTTCGTCAGACACCAACGCATTAGGGCTGATCAGGCTTTCAAGATAAGTGAAGCTGTCAAGGCGTTCGACTGCTTCACTCCCTATCCCTAGTTCAGGTGTTGACTCACACCAGTCCTGAAGCACCATCTTACATTTAGAGGGGGGGGGAGAAACGCATCCTAGACATTCTGGCATTGTTGCTCAGTGCTACCAAAAGACTGTATTTTATCAGCATCTTCACCAAACAGGACTATATCATCTGCGTATTCTAAGTCGATAAGTGGACTTTCTGGTAGAAGATCGATTCCTGAAAATTCAGTCAACGAGAACATTATTTCCAGCGGTAGGTCTCTTATGAAGTTAAACAGAAATAGAGATATTGGACAGCCATACCGGACAACACCTGAGGTTACGAAATCACATGACAGTTCACCATAACCTCTGAATTAACTGATAGTGTTCGAGTAAAGTACCCTCACAAGGTTTATGTACTTCTGAGGTACACTTTTCAATGACACACTGCCACAGAATCTCGCGGTCTACCGAGTCAAATGCTGCTTTTAAGTCAAGAAAGACCACCGTTATCGGACGTCGATAAGCATGCCTGTATTTTATGATCAGAAGAATGGTGAATATGTGGTCGATGCAGCCACGACCAGGTCTGAAGCTAGCCTGATTTTCTCGTGTTTGCAGTTCACGAGTCTTAGTTAGTCGTCTGATAATTATCGAGGCTAGTATTTTAGATATTATATTAGTTAAACTAATCCCTCTGTGGTTGTCACAGGATGATTTTGACCCTTTCTTATATATTGGGACGATAAGTGATTGCGACCAGTTAGATGGGATAACGTCTAACTCCCAGATCTTAGCTAAAATATTAGTCAAACTAATCGCTAAAACTGAACCACCATCCTCAAAGACCTCTGGAGCCAATCCATATGGACCAGCTGCTCTTCCCCGTTTCAGATTGGCTATGGCCTTTTGAACTTTTGCTAGAGTTGGGGGACCTACTTCAATGTTCCATTTAGGCTGTCTGGGAATGGAGGGTAGTTGTAGAGTAGATGAAGGCCAGCTGAAATGTTCCGCCCATCGCTCTAAACGTCTGGGCTGAGAGCAGATAAGTGTCTTCTTTTTCCGAGATAGTTTCACTTACACTCGCCTTCCTGATTCCAGTTTCTTTTATTAGTCTGGAAAGCTGTCTGGTTTACCTACAGCCGTTGCCTTTTCCATCTCTTTTGCTTTCGTTGCTCACCCCTGCTCACGGTCGTTCCTTAGACTTTTGCTTAACCTAGATCTGATTTGCTTTCGCTCGTCATCGTTTTCGGAACGTGATAGGATAAGTTTACGAGAATCCATCAGTGCAATAAACTTAAAAGAAAGCCATTGGCTTTTTGTAACCATTTGTTTTAAATCATTAATAGATGTCACTGCTGATTCCACACCTGTTGTATATTTATCCAAGCAATATCCGGGTCAGCCTTGTTTTCAGAACTACCTACGTGTGACCTCAGTTGTTTCTGGAATCTACTTCAGGCTTTGTCGTCACTCAATTCAATTCTAATGGGTCTTCTTGGTGTGGCTTTTCTGCGTCCAGTGAGGCGTAAGCAGATGCGTACATGTACTAGAGGATGGTCGGAGTCCAAGCAGGTATTCCAGAATGAGCGACAATCTTCTATTGACCCTCTCCAACGATGACTGATGGCAATATGGTCTATTTGAGTCCATCGTTGGTTTGGTGTAGAGGGTCGCCATGTTAAACGATGTTTCTCCTTATGCTTAAAATTAGTGTTTGATAAAAATAAATGATTGTCTGAGCACAGCTGCAGCAGACGATCACCATTATCTGGTCGCTGAGCCGGAATACCAAAATACCTATCTAAATGTTTTTCTGTTTGGTGATAACTACCTACGTGGGCATTAAAATCACCTGCTACAAGTACTATGTCTGAACGTTCAGCTTTCTGAAGAAGTTCAGAAGGCGATAGGAGAAGCATTATATAGAGAGGGAAAGGAAGAACTGTTGCCACATGGAGTGCACATATGGAGGATTTTCACATATATAAACACAAGTATCTCTTACAACCCCATCTCATTAGTTCTAGTCATTGTTCTTAACCAATACTAAACGTCATACCATAATTAGTAGCTATAAGTATACATCACACAATAATTAGTTAAATAATATTGTGTTGTAAGGAATATTTTGATCGGTAAATCATTTCCATCATATATTTCCGTGATGTAATGGCCTTCGTTCTACATATGTGCATTCATAACGTATTATCTATTGTTCTAAACATAGTGATACTTCTAAGCTTGATATATGTATTTTTATGAAAGTATTTTTTGTAGAGGAGTTTCTCAGGAATAATGGCTTGATAATGTGATACCATAGGATAGTTTCGTTTAGTGTCACACAAAAAGATAGATATGGCTCAATCTATATTTCGTAAATGATCTACTTCATGAAGAACAGTATATAAATTTATATTTTCTCACTATTCATTCAGATTTAGTACCTAGCTTGATCGATGGAAAATCATCAGGTAAGTGTTACTGCTGGAAAACACCTAAAATATTGCGTATTTCTCAAAGGTTAATACAAAATGTTTATCAAATATTTGACTAATTTGCACTTACTAATAGGGTGATCACTCTCTAAAAAATCTTTATTTCCCCCAAATTTGTAGTGCATGCGTTGCTGTCAAAATTACTGCTTTTACAATATTATGCCTAGTATAGAATTAATTGCATGTTTTAATAAATATACTATAGGAATGTGTTTGTAACTCAAGGTTCATAGACATTAGATACTAATTATAGGCTTACGTGCTGAACTTTGGGCCACATAATTTATGTGAGTTGTGATGCTATCCTGTAGAGCGGTGGCTTCGTCGTTGAATCAGTGAAGTTCTAACAAGTAAGGTCGTATGCTCAATCCTCGTACTTTTTCCTCAGTTTGTGCCCTCCAAATGCCACGGTACGGCCGAGGGTGGAAAGAGACCGCTCTTACTCTTGAAATGCTCTGACATGACAACGTGTATGCAGCCACTGCCAGGGAAGTCCTACTCACTGCCTTCTCGTGGTGGGGGTGTTGTTCATGAAATTGAGAGTAATAAAAGCGAATATCTGGCGCTTTAACCGGGTTGGTGGAAACAGAAGATCCACCTAGGGGAGTTGGGAAACCCTGATTCCAAACCAGTGGTGTACATGGGCTCCAGTATCCTAAAAAACAAGTGGCGTATAAACACATTGTTGGTCACCGACTACCATAAGACTTCATCTCCTAACGTCGCTCCACTGCCTTATGTATTAGACTCATAGGTCAAAGACTCGGGAATGGCCCCTTAGGAAAGTCACCTGCTTCGGTTTGGGCACCCGCTCAGTATTCCAGCCCTCACAACATATTAAATGACGAAGTGTGGCGCATATGTATTTGGGGCCGCCTTGTAGCAATGTCTATGGGTACCCGGTTAGTATCACCGACCTCTATTCAATTGAACGGTGGTTCGTTGACGAGTTCAGGGACCTGTACTTGTTAAATGAATTTTAAAAAAGTATACTATTTCGCCACACTAATTGAGATAGGTGGCATGGGATTCAAACCGATTACCTGCTAGTTAGAAGCCGAGTATCTCATTCGATATAAAAACCTAGTGTTAATATTTTTTGCTCTCAGGTGTAGTGTTATTAGGCATGTTTAGGGCAGTCCCATAAAATTATACCAAATAATAGATCTTAACCTTCGATTAATCTTGTCCTATATTTGTTATAACTTTCATACCAAGGTGCATATTTACAAACTAATAAACCTCTCTCTGCCTTGGCATATTATTCATTTGGTTAAATATTCAACTTCTAGCTCAATATACCATGTTTTTAAACCTGTACACAATAGTTCTGATTCATAACTGACTATACTGCAAACCTGTATTTGGTTACTAAGGTGCTGTTAAAAAAGACGCTTTCGTTCCACTCTTGAGTCATGGAGATATTTTCAAATAGTTTATAATAATTAAATAAAAATCGTTACTTGTCCATGGATGTGTTGAATATTTTCTACAGTTGCGAAATGGTTTGTTAGGCGAAGTATAGTATTAAGCTAATATTAATTTTTAATATGTCTATTTAGTACTGTTTCTGGTTGATATTCTTCAACAAAGTTCTTTTTATTGGATGGGGTTACTAACCCTATGTCAAACTCTTCTCCTTTATTCGAGCTTGGGATTAACAATAACCATAGAAAATAGCTCCAGATAAAGTTAGATTTTTTGTTGCTGTTGAAAATGCAGCTTTAATCATTTAATTTAACTAGATCAACTATCTATTTGTTCGGATCTCTAATCTTCACGATGACCTTCAAAGTAATTTTAATAAATATTTTATGAACAATATGATAACAAGATAGAAGTTTTATTCACTTGACTTTGTTTACTTGTGTCTTCCTATTGTTATTTAGGACTGCAATTGATCAGTCTCTTGTTGGCATATGGGAATTCTGTGCGGAATGACTCGATACTGCCTGAAGTCACAAGCTTTATAAGCAAAGACGGATAATGACTAGCAGTGGAATTCAGGACTCGCGTTTCGTCCTATTTGTGACTCGTCAACTGGATGTACCTACATCTCAGAGTGAATATAACTTCACCCCATTGTACAAGCAGGTAGCTATCAGGACTCAGTAGCTAAGTGGATAACGCAATGGCGTTTGAAGTGAACTGTACTGGGTTCGAGTCCTAGAGTGAACATCAACTCTGAGATACAGGTACATCCTAAATAGGACGAAACGCGCTTTGTCCTAAATTCCACTGCTAATCACTACCCGTTTTTGCTTATAAAGATAGAAGTTTATTTCATAATTTCGCATCAAGCATTACTGCAAATAATTTCTTATTTATTTATTTATAATAAATAAGAGATTATTTGTAGTAATGCTTGATGAGAAATTATGAAATAAACTGTCTTTATAAGCAAAGATGGATAGTGGTTAGCAGTGGAACTCAGGGCCCCCAAATGCCCTGGTATGTCCGAGAGCGGTGTGGGCTCGCCCTCCCTCTCGAAACACTCACATGGCCAAGAGTATATAGCCTCTGCCAGGGAAGTCCTAATCACTGCCTTCTCGTGGCTGGGGTGTTGTTTACGAAAATGAGAGGACGAAAAGCGAATGTCCGGCGCTTTAACCGGATTCCAAACCACTGGTGCACATGGGCTCCAGTATCCTGCGGGAACAAATGGCGTATGAACCAATCGTTGGTCACCGGCTTCCATGGGACTGCATCTCCTCACGATGCTCCACTGCCTTGTGGATCAGACCTTCAGGTCGAAGGCTCTGGGTGTGGCCCTATAAGAAAACCACCTGCTTCGGTTTGAGCACCCAGGCAGTATCACAGCCCACACACACAAAATGATGAACTGTCTATTTATGGAAAATATTCTTCAAGCATTAATACAAATCATCTCTGATTTAAGTTGTAACAAATGAAATAACTTCATTTATTTTCTCTTTTCAAAATTACCTGCATGAAAGTATGCAATATATGTGTGTTTTACTTTTAGTTATGTAATACATCGTAATTGATAAAATGCTAAAAAAAGGAAATGTTTTAAACGTGTTATCTATAGTTCTATCCTCTTCTCTATTAGGTTGATAATAATTTAGCCATTTCTAAGTTTGCATGTATTTACCACTTTCTAATTCTTAGCTCTTATATAGTTTAGTTATTAGAATGTGAAATGATTATTAAAAGGTTATCAACAAGTTGAAACTCTTTAGATTTTTATAAAATTCAACATTATAACATTTATTGTCATAGAGATGTAATTGTTGAAGCATTTTTTTTTTCCTTTTAATTAAAACACACTAACTAACTACTGAGAGATTTACACTGATCCATTGATTTCTGTTGATGACTTAGAACTAATTTTATTGTTTATGTAGTAGTCCTTTACACTGATTGACTTTTATTGATGTTGTCTCAATTCAGTCATCATTTGATATCGTTTTTTTCACTATGTTTGAATGAGTGATATATAATTGTGTATGTATGATAGGCAGTTATCAGGTTATACTTTGATAATGGTATACTATCTGATGCAGGTTTGTATGGAAGTTGAACTTGAGACAGGTGCGAAACTGAGATTCACACAATGCAAATAATAAGACAATGGTCCATGTCAAGTGAATATTTTATTCACCCTTCAAAGACACGTCAACTTTAACCAAATACATTCATTTGTTTATAGATTTTACGGGCAGTGAATAAGAAATAAATGAATATCACACAAAGGAATTAGGAGGAACGTATAAATGAATTTTCCACTGAATTAATGTATACATTAATGCTGCATTGTATACTGAACAGATATCACACTAAATTAAACTGTTCACGTTTTATCTCATCTTAGCAGTTTAGAATCCTGAAAGCTACATTAATCCCATCATGATTACTGATACGCTTTACTAATGGATCCTAACTAATAGGAGATCCAATCTAAGGTGATCCTGCTAATAGCATCCAACTAACTTACAGCAAAACGTGATGCACATGATATCGAGTCAGACTAGTGATTGCATTTGAACTTGGTAACACAATTCAATCAACCCTAAAGGGCTGGGCAAACATAGGGTTGATTGCTATTCTGAATGGTCGTCAATCAAAATACAAACCACGATATATAAGAGATTAATTCTCGATATCGATTTTTCTTAATACCACAAGATTTTAAGATCATGGAAATAATGTCATTTTTTATCCGTAGTATAGTTAATCATTCTTTTAAAATTCATCAAGAAGTTTCTTTAGATCCTACATATTTATCCATCTTAGATAAACAGATATACGCTCTCACCTTAGGGCAACCATTATCATTTACAACCTAATCCGATAAACATTTGACTGATATGTATCCCCAAATGCCCTGGTACGGCCGAGAATGGGGAGAGTCCGCTCTCCCTCTCGAAATGCTCTCATATGGCCACGTGTATATGGCCTCTGCCAGGGAAGTCCTACTCACTGCCTTCTCGTGGCGGGGGTGTTGTTTACGAAAATGAGAGGACGAAAAGCGAATGTCCGGCGCTTTAACCGGATCCCAAACCAATGTTGCACATGGGCTCCAGTTTCCTGTAGGAACAAATGGCATATGAACCAATTTCTTGGTCACCGGCTACCATGGGACTGCATCTCCTCACGATGCTCCGCTGCCTTGTGGATCAGACCTTCAGGTCGAAGGCTCAGGGTGTGGCCCCTAAGAGGACCACCTGCTTTGGTTTGGGCACCCGGGCAGTATCACAGCCCTCACACATATCGAATGAGATTTGTGTGGCGCATATGTATTTGGTGCCTCATTGTACCAATATATATGTGTTAAAATAAAATAAGTAATGCACACTACACTATCTGTTCTTTTTGAAATCACTTCTTTTCGGCTATTCTCTTTTGTTGCTTGTTTACCTTTTTTCTTCTGCCACACTTTACTCTCATTGAATCAACTCCACCTCTTATCCTACACTCATTATAGATTTAAATACATCAGGTGAATTAAGCCTACATTCGGATATCACCTGTGAACAATTGAATTCAGTTGAAGCTGATGTATTTTGGTGTACATCACATCTATTGGATACAATACAAGATAATTATACATTTGCTCAACCTGGCCTACAAAACAATGTAAAGATGTTGGCTAGTCTAATTGAACGTATTGATACTAAATTATATCAACATTTTATACAAAATGATGTTGAATTTTTACAATTTGCTTTTCGATGGATGAATAATTTATTAATACGCGAATTACCATTACGTTGTATTATACGTTTATGGGATACTTATATGGTACGTTGAATTTTTTTTCACTTGTCTTTTTGTATATGTTCGTTTATATTTTGGTTTACTGACGACACAGATTTAATGGGAATTCATCAAGTACTACAGGTTTATGTAGTAGTGGACTTTGAACTAATCGGTCAGTCATTGGTAGTATTAAACCTAACTCACTTTTACCCATCAGTTCAAGTTGCCATACCATATCCTTACAACAAAGTAAAAATTGTTCATGCCAATATCAGAATAGTAGGATTAGTAATAATATCAGAGGTAACAGAAAAGATTAAGCAGAGACAAAATTATTCAAGAGGAAATAATAATTTTTCGAAATAAAAAGTATAAAACAATCTTAAAACTCAAAATCTAAGTGAAAACAAATAGTGAATGCATCTGCTAGATTGTGGCTGATTCAGAGCCATATCACCCAACGTCTCCAACCATTGGTCACAATTTTAGCTAAGATCTCATCCTGGCAGTCTACATGTTCCAACCAATCCAGTCAATAAAAATTCACTAGCTCATTAACTGATTTGCCATATTTATGTAATACACTACATCCAACCTCAACATAAGTGTTCACTTGATGACCAGCAGTGCTCCGAAGGCATCTATAGCCAAATACTAGTGACCTAGAAATATAATCTATTACTGAATCCATTTTCCCAGCTATAAAGTAGATCGAAACAAACTGCCACATAGTATATTCATCCTTTGTTTGCCAGACGAACATCTCGCTTATGCCATAGGTGACGAAAGTTGACAAAAGTCAATCCAAATAATGATATTAACCGGTTGCTTAATTCTTAATAGCTGAAGTGAGACTAGCCTACTGATTGAAAGCCGACTAACCCAATTACTAAAATATCTCGTATATTCGCTTGTGTTTGCGTACTGCTTTAAGTCCTAAAGTTTATAACCTTTTAGTCACAGGTTTACACAGAAAAATTTATGACTCGAAATCGCTTCGGCTTCATGGTACCTAGTCTACTCAATTAATCTCTGCAATTAAAGGCAGTTTGCATCCTAATATAATGCTTTTCTAGACAGATACGATAGTAAACCATTTACTTACAGTCATGGGAACTTTCTGTATTTTAAAACAATTAGTCACTTGGATAAATTTCGATAATGCAATGATAACATTCATCTTCTCATTGCATTATCGACATTTTCTCTATTTTGTTTAGTGACCCTAAATCTGACTCCATTTAAATCGTAAGAGTGATTTTTATTGAAATATACATGTCGCCAATCCTCGTATATAATCATCGACTTAACTCGCGTTTGTGAATAACGGGATTAAATAAGTCAAATACGAGAATGGATTTCGCATGCATATATTGCATACAATCGTTGATCCAGACAAACGATTAAGGAAACGAAGCGAAGAGAAGGCAGCGAAGCGAAATAACACGTATTGGAGAAAGCATGTGGATCAACTTGATTTAACTAAGCGTGAATCGATATTTATAGTCAGACAAAAATAAGTTACATACATATGATGAGTGAAATGAGAAAGGCACACATATACGCTCATATAAAAACAGTCAAGGTTGATAAGCGAATAGTTAACAAGGTCAAAATGTAACTCAAGTAGAATGAATAAATTGACCTGTCCGGAAGCTAGGACAAGCCATGTGGGCTTGACATAGCAACCGACACTGTCGTTCTCGGAAAGGAGTATTCCATTGATTGTCTAGATCAATATTAGAATGGTGTGAAAAATATTTATTTATTTAAACACCTTAAATACCGGTACACAGGGGACAGCAAAATACATATACTCCATACAAGTAAAAACGAGATTGTGTAGAGATAGAGAAAGGGAGATGAGTATAATAGAAAATAGAACAAAAATGAATAGAACATTGGTCTACGGAAGTAATAATAATAATAATAATAATAATAAATCTTAGAAGAATTAAGAAGGAAGGATTGCTGAAATCCAGTGGTAACACCATGTTAGTAATTCAGAGGTTCAGCGTCGTTTGTTTGGACACAGCAACGATAATTCAATTGGTGTCACTATCTTGAAACATCGACTTCAATGTCTTGGGCATGTCCTACTAATGTCGTACCAGAGAATTCCACATCGTGAATTATTTGCCGACATTGGGACCGGTTGTTAAAAATAGAGTGTTGGTCAGTGTATGATATGCGTAATACGAAAGAAAGCTGTGCAGGACTAGCTTCCATTGGTCCTTCTCAACTCCCTGGTTGGGGTCCGAGAGATGGTGCAACACAATGGCTTGAGACGTTATCAGACGTGGCTCAGAATAGAAGCGAGTGGCGATCCTGTTGTAAATTTATTTTACTTTGCTTATATAAGTGAGAGGAACTTGTTTAAATGTATGAATACTTTCTGGTTGTGTTTTTCTTAACTGAACTGCTTCTAATTTTTTATAAGAACCTTCATAGTATTTTAATGAATCTTAATTTTTGTTCGACAATCTGGTTCAAACACTTTCAAGCAAATATAATCAAATATCAAAATTATCGAATATAAAAATGGGTACATGGTTCTTCAGTTAACTGTATAATAAATAGGTCATTCAATCATGTGAACAATTTTTAATGTATTTTTTATAGTGTGTATGATATGAAAAAAAATGTGTCAAGATAGCAGATTGTACGTGTATTCGTAAGGGTGAATTTGAGGTATGAGAAGGAATTTCATTGACTATTTATCACCTTTGATCACTGGATTGAATATCATCCATGATGGCTATCTTACTTCTTCAGACATATAAGTCTGCACTGAAACTACGTTAAGCTACATCAATTGTAGCCACTAATGAGCGTATAATTATTATTTAGCTGAATAGATTGTGAGATTATTTCACAGTATAAAATATCGTATTAATTTAGTTTGTTGTATACAATACTTTGTGATATACAATCAGTCAGTCAGCTACAACGTTAGGACCAGGCACATATATGCATCGGTCCAAGTTGCCATACCTCATTAACACAAAAAGATAGACACCGGATTCCTAGAAGTAGTTAATTCAGTTGTGGTAATATGTAAAGGATTGTAATAAGGATATTGTACAGGAAGGAAGAATTAGTTCATAGAAAGAAAGATATGAAGTGATTTTAATCTCTTAGTTTAAGAGAAGACAGAGAGTGTATCCACCGACGCCATTGTGATCGATTCTGAGCCATGTCACCCAGAGTCTTCAACCATTGGTTACGATAGTCACGCGGACCCCTACCAAGTAGTTTGCACCTACCAACATGGCTCAGACTAGAGATTAATGTCTTCAAGCACTGATGCCACGTTTTGGTTTGGCCGCCACTAACTTTCTTCCAACCATCTCTAACACCCGTTAGCATTGCATGACGTGGTAATCGGTGTCCAAGCATACGTAACACCGTGGTCCAATCATTTTAGTCGATGAAAATTCACAACATCATCAACTTATTTATCATCATCCCATAATACCCTGCGTCTAACCTCACTATTACTTACCCGGTGATCCCAGCAGACGCCAGCAATATTTCTAAGGCACCTGTGGTCGAATACTAGTAGCTTACGAGTATCTTCTACTCTTAATGGCCACGTTTCGCTGCCGTAAATTAAAACAGAACGGACTGCTTTACAGTATACTTGTCCTTTTATTGATAGACGTATATCTCGCCTTCTCCGTAGGTGACGTAAGTTGGCAAGAGCCAAACGTGCTTTTCGAATTCATGCTGATATTTCGTCAGACACCAAGCCATTAAGGCTGATCAGGTTTTCAAGATGAGTGAAGCTGTCAACGCGTTCGACTACTACTACTACTACTATGCAATACTTTCATATTTGATTGAATGATCTACTCGTATATATTTAATTGATCATTTCCTTTTTATAATTCAATTCTATTTTATATACAGTCAGAAAATAGTGGATTTTCAAATTTTCACGTTTATGTCTGTGCAGCTTTTCTGCTACAATTTTCTAATGATCTTTGCCGTGAACAAGATTTTCAAGGTATTATGTTATTATTACAACATTTACCAACATTTCATTGGACTGATGAAAATATTAAATTGGTACTGGCTGAAGCGTTTCGTCTTCATTCATTATTCAATTCAGCTATGCATCATTTAGATTTTCGACGTCATTCGGATTTAGATTAAAATCAATCAATACTTCAGTTGTTGTAGGTTATCGCATTGTCTCTCTGTGTGTGTGTCTGGTTGTGTACAGATAAGTATTATCAATTGATTGAAGACAAATACAGAAGTACATGTGTGTGTATGTAAAATAGAGATAAGAAAAGTCTTTCTTACTTCCTCATTTTTGTAGCTGTTTAACGACTACTACTGCTGTTACATTTTATGTCCCATCAACCATTCAACTACTCATTCTGTATAGTAGTAGTAGTCATGATAGTGATAGTATAATATCCAAATAAACTTCTTCCATTTACTTTTCTGCTGCACATCAGTTATCTCTTTGCTTATTGATTAATTTGGTTTTATTTTGTATGTAGTAAAGTTTTTTTTTTTCTCCCTTATTTTCTCTTAAAATGATAATTGAATCTCTTGTGTTACTGTTCAATTCTACTTATTGACAATGGCAGTATTTTCTATTTGATTTCAACTTGTATCCAGTGTTATATATATATATGGATGGATGGATAGTTTGATTATTCCTTCGTAATCTCCAGTTTCAACACTGTGAAGATACAATTTATCTCCCAACATTACTATATATATATATATATTATTGATACTGTTATTTTACTACTTACATTCTCAATATTTGTTTGCTTTTCCACTGAAAGTTATCTTTCATGTATAGTTATTTGAATGAATGTTAACACAACTAATAGTTCACATGTGTCTTTCAACTATCTATTAATGCGCATGATAACGTGATCTTCCTTATGTCGTTATAATGTGCCTCTGTATTTATGAATATATATATATATATATAATACCCCATAATTTCTCAGTTAGATAATAAGAAATAAATAAATAAGTGTTTTGTATGCATTTTTTGTAGAATATTTTGTATTAGCATCCATTGCTTTGTAACCTCTCCCCACGGGAAAAAAAACTAAGCGCATACATTACCAGTCATCAGTATTTTTTAAACAATATTTCTCGGTATGTTTTACAGTTGTGTTTTTCTTACTGTGAAATATGATTTATTTACATGTTATTGTATTTTCAAGTGAACAATTTCTACCATCTAAGAAATTGATGCTGATGATGATGATGATGTAATCTTCCATTTGTTAATGATATACTTGAAATATAAGTTTCTGTTTTTTGGAAAATATATTTTGTCTTAGTTAGTGATTACAGATATCCTTCCTTCCTTCCTTCCTTCCTTCCTTACTTACTTACTTACCTACTTACTTACTTACTTACTTACTTACTTACTTACTTACTTACTTACTTACTTACTTACTTACTTACTTACTTACTTACTTACTTACTTACTTACTTACTTACTTACTTACTTACTTACTTACTTACTTACTTACTTACTTACTTACTTACTTACTTACTTACTTACTTACTTACTTACTTACTTACTTACTTACTTACTTACTTACTTACTTACTTACTTACTTACTTACTTACTTACTTACTTACTTACTTACTTACTTACTTACTTACTTACTTACTTACTTACTTACTTACTTACTTACTTACTTACTTACTTACTTACTTACTTACTTACTTACTTACTTACTTACTTACTTACTTACTTACTTACTTACTTACTTACTTACTTACTTACTTACTTACTTACTTACTTACTTACTTACTTACTTACTTACTTACTTACTTACTTACTTACTTACTTACTTACTTACTTACTTACTTACTTACTTACTTACTTACTTACTTACTTACTTACTTACTTACTTACTTACTTACTTACTTACTTACTTACTTACTTACTTACTTACTTACTTACTTACTTACTTACTTACTTACTTACTTACTTACTTACTTACTTACTTACTTACTTACTTACTTACTTACTTACTTACTTACTTACTTACTTACTTACTTACTTACTTACTTACTTACTTACTTACTTACTTACTTACTTACTTACTTACTTACTTACTTACTTACTTACTTACTTACTTACTTACTTACTTACTTACTTACTTACTTACTTACTTACTTACTTACTTACTTACTTACTTACTTACTTACTTACTTACTTACTTACTTACTTACTTACTTACTTACTTACTTACTTACTTACTTACTTACTTACTTACTTACTTACTTACTTACTTACTTACTTACTTACTTACTTACTTACTTACTTACTTACTTACTTACTTACTTACTTACTTACTTACTTACTTACTTACTTACTTACTTACTTACTTACTTACTTACTTACTTACTTACTTACTTACTTACTTACTTACTTACTTACTTACTTACTTACTTACTTACTTACTTACTTACTTACTTACTTACTTACTTACTTACTTACTTACTTACTTACTTACTTACTTACTTACTTACTTACTTACTTACTTACTTACTTACTTACTTCTTCCGACAACCCGGCTAAAGCGTCAGACATTTGTCCTCTTAATTTTCCTAAACAACGCTTTCACCTCGAGAAGGAAGTGAGTCGGACTTCCCTCTCAGTGGCTGAATACGCGTGGCAATGTGAGAGCATTTCGAGCGGGAGAGTTGACTATCCCCAACCCCCAAGGTAGTCAGCTTATTTATCGACATATCAATGTATTACTACCATAACTCTGAAAAGAGAACTAACTCAATCACAGGGGTTTTCTACATCGTGACGTTTTATCACATTACACTTATAAAAACGATATTGTTTATGTTGATCGTTATGAAAACCCAAGATACAAGTGATATCAGGAAATAAACCTAATTTTGAAGTACTTTAATTACATCTCAGCTCCACACGCGAAAAATGTTAACCACCGTTGGTAGTGTACTGATATTCCTGTAGATGATTTTCTGCAGTTTTAGAAAGTTAAACAATTTCTTTAGAACAATGTTCGGTATCATAACCAAGAGTAGTGCTAAATTAATAATTAAGAAAGTTTTTCCACCCCGAATTTCCTTGCTAATGTCACTTACTTACTTACGCCTGTTACTCCTCGTGAAGGAGCATAGGCCGCTCACCAGCATTCTCCATCCAACCCTGTCCTGGGCAATCCTTTCTAGCTCCGTCCAGTTGTAATTCATCGTTTTCATATCTGCTTCTATTATCCGACGCAATGTGTTCTTTGGCCTTCCTCTTTTTCGCTTCCCTTCAGGATTCCAAGTTAGGGCTTGCCTCGTGATGCAGTTTGACGATTTGCGTAATGTATGTCCTATCCATTTCCATCGTCTTTTCCTAATTTCCTCTTCAGCTGGAAGTTGGTTTGTTCTCTCCCACAGAAGGCTATTGCTGATGGTATCCGGCCAATGGATGTTGAGTATCTTGCGTAGACAGTTATTTATAAATACTTGTACTTTCTTGATTATGGTTGTTGTAGTTCTTCAAGTTTCAGCTCCATACAGTAGAACTGCCTTGACGTTCGTATTGAAGATTCTCACTTTGATATTGGTTGAAAGTTGTTTTGAGTTCCATATGTTCTTCAATTGTAGGAATGCGACCCTTGCTTTGCCAATCCTCACCTTTACGTCTCCATCTGAACCTCCTTGTTCATCGATGATGATGCTTCACAGGTATGTGAACGATTCTACATCTTCCAGAGTTTCGCCATCAAGAGTGATTGGATTGCTGTTCTCCGTGTTGTATCTGAGGACCGTGGTTCTCCCTTTGTGTATGATGAGGCCTACTGATGCACAGATTGCTGCTACACTGGTTGTCTTCATCTGCATCTGTTCGTGTGTATGCGATAGGAGGGCCAGGTCATCTGCGAAGTCCAAATCGTCTAATTGATTCTGAGCTGTCCATTGTATTCCATGTTTTCCTTCAGATATCGAGGTCTTCATAATCCAGTCGACCACCAGAAGAAAGAGTAAGGGAGAGAGTAAACAGCCTTGTCTGACTCCGATCCTTACTTGGAATGCATCTGTCAGCTGTCCTCCATGCACTACTTTGCACTGTAGTCCGTCGTATGAGTTCCGGATAATATTGACAATCTTCTCAGGAACTCCGTAGTGTCGAAGAAGTTTCCATAATGTCCTCCTATCTACACTGTCGAATGCCTTTTCATAACCAATGAAGTTGATGTATAGTGATGAGTTCCACTCAACTGATTGTTCGACGATGATCCGTAGTGTTGCAATTTGGTCTGTGCACGACCGATCGTTACGGAATCCAGCTTGTTGATCTCGAAGTTGGGCGTCTACTGCATCCTTCATCCGGTTCAACAACACTCTGTTGAAGACTTTCCCTGGTATTGACAGTAGTGTTATGCCTCTGTAGTTTTCACATTTACTCAGATCTCCTTTCTTTGGAATCTTGACGAGGTGTCCTTCTTTCCAGTCCATCGGCACTTGTTCCTCCTCCCAAATCTTTTTGAATAGAAGATAAAGCATGCTTGTGGTTGTTTCGATGTCTGATTTCAGTGCTTCAGCTGATATGTTGTCGGGTCCTGCTGCTTTCCCGTTCTTGATTTGTCTGACGGCCATTCTAATTTCTTCCGTAGTTGGTGGATTGACATCTATAGGAAGATCTATGTGTGCTGCTTCGATGTTCGGTGGATTGATTGGAGCCGGTCTATTCAGAAGTTCGTCGAAGTATTCTACCCATCTGTTACGCTGTTGTTGAATTTCGGTGATTGGCTTGCCTTCCTTGTCTTTGACCGGCCTCTCTGGTTTACTGTATTTCCCTGCTAGTTTCTTCGTTTTTTCATGAAGCTGTTTCATATTTCCTTCTCTAGCAGCTTTTTCTTCCGTCGTTGCTAGTTCTTCCACGTACTTCTTCTTGTCGGCTCTAATGCTCCTCTTCACTTGTTTGTTTGCTTCTATGTATTTAGCTTGTGCTTGGATTTTCTGTGTTCGTGTTCGGCTGTTGTTAATTGCTGCCTTCTTGTTCTTCCTTTCATTGATCTTGTCCAGTGTTTCTGTAGAGATCCATTCCTTATGATGGTATTTCTTTAGACCCAGAACCTCTTGACACGTTGAAGTTAATGCTTCCTTGATGCCTTTCCAGTTGTCCTCCATAGTAGTTTCTTCTTCTTTCAGTAGATCTCGTAAGGCTTGGAACCTGTTGTTGAGAGCTATCTTGAATTCATTGAGTTTGACAGTATCTCGAAGGAAGGCTGTATTGAACCATTGTAGTGTTGTTTGTCCACTTGTCCAGTTCTTTTTTAGCTTCAGTTTTAAAGTGGTTACAACTAGGTGGTGATCTGAAGCTACGTCAGCACCTCTCCTGGTTCTCACATCTTCCATTGTCCTTCGGAATTTTTTGTTGATGCAAATATGATCTATTTGGTTCTCTGTAGTGTGGTCCGGTGAGATCCATGTAGCCTTGTGTATACGCTTGTGTGGAAATATTGTGCCTCCTATGACCAACTTGTTGAATGCACATAGATTTGCAAATCTTTCTCCATTTTCGTTTCTTCCTCCCAGTCCATGTCGTCCCATAATATCTTCATGTTGTGGATGCGGAGGAATAGACCAATAATTATCATGCTAAGTTCAATGGTGTCCTTGGACTTTAAATGGACATTTTCTATTGGTCGATATCTGTTCACTTGTGAATATTGTACAAAATGTTGTTTTCCATTTTTATGGTACGATGTGGTTTGTTTGCTTGGTATATAAATAGTGTATGTTTGAAATATAATGATTCATATCTCAGAGGTTGTGACTTGTCTTCTGGACTCAACTGGCTGGGCTGGACAGGGGAGCAGGACCAATCAGAACCCTAGTTCGTTCTACGTGTTGGTGCGTCTTTGGTCCGATCAACAATTCTCTCCCCCTTCATCTGCAGCATTATTTTTCACAGACATAACAATTGGCGACGGGGTGGAGAAAAATTTTGAACCTTGTAATTGGACGCGATTCAGGCTAATTGTTTCGACCAATCAGCATCCAGATTGTCACCAGCGTCCTTGAGCAACATTGGTCATTATTCCTACAGTTAATTTTCATTGTTGGTGCTGAAAAAAAAAGACTACCTGTTCCGATCAATTACAGCTTCTACTTGAGCAACAACAGCAGTGCTTCAAAAATAGCCAGTTGAATTTTTTAGAAAATTTACGCACACTGTTGGTAAATTTTCCATGTTTCGGAAATGCAACAGAAGTTGATAATTTCATTTCTCATCTGAAGACTGAGCTGAACAACAACTGCAGAACATATGAAG